ATCACTGGCCAGGATTGCCTTTTGCCATGACCAAATGTAGCCTTCCTTTTCTATGTTTGAGGATTTTTCAACTTATACAGGTCAAACAGAACTGCAGTAGGTTGTTTTAACTGTGTGATATTCCATATTAAACCTAGAATCTCCACTTAGTGGGCCCCTACCAATAAACTCAGCTGAATCCAGTTTTATGCTCCTTCCACTATTATCCCACACTTTTAAGATCTATATCTATGTATATTCCCCAGATTTCTGCTTGAATGAATTAGCAAAATCCTTAAGCTCCTTAGTAGTGTAGCACATTTTTTCACAGACTACATTTTCTACATCTGCTCTAGGAGCCTGCTTTGCCTTGAGTCTGGTTATAGGTCTAGAGGCAATTACTGGTAGGCCTTGAGGGATATCAGTATTGTCTTGCTTGGCATTTCTTTTAGAGAAAGTCACTGCTTGTTTAGCAGACACTGAAGGATTGATTACCTCAGTAAAAGGTGAAAGGGTGGGGTTGAGAGTACTACTCCTTCAGGTGAGATAAACCCTTTAGAATCTGAGGGTTCAAAGTTCTCAACTTCAGTAGGTTCTCCCCACACAACTGATGGAGGAAGGTCATTGGTTAAATAAAAAGAAACTGCTTGGCTCTCATTGGTTAGAGATAGGTGGGAGGAGTAAACAGAACAGAACGCTGGGAGGAAGAGGAAGTGATCTCAGACTCCACAGCTCTCCTCTCAGGAGCAGACGCCTCAGAGAGATGCCATGCTCCGCTCCCGGGCAGACGCACGCGATGAAGCAAGCCGCCAGGTTAGAAATGCTGAACCTTTCCCGGTAAGACCGGTGCTCACAGATTATTAGAGATGGGTTGATTAGGATATCAGAATTAGCCAGTAAGGGCTAGAGCTAAAGGGCCAAGCAGTGTCTAAAAGAATACAGTTTGTGTGTTGTTATTTCGGGCATAAGCTAGCCGGGCAGGTGGCCGGGGTGCTGGGAATGCAGCCCCGTCGCCCCATATTACTACACACAACCCCACCCCAAGATATAGGATCCCATTATTTACCAATTGACATCCTTACTTCCTCTTGTGACCCCCTGAGACTAAAAATTGGATTCAGACTCTAATTCAGGCAACCTTATAAGAGATTCAGTTTGCCCCCAACTTGAGCTCTGTGGCTACTGGCGGGAAGATTCTCTTCCAAGGCACACATAGAAACTTTTAGACTGTTTGTCCACATCTGGAGCAGGTCAGCTTTAAGTTCATCGTCCTTCACTGCATTCTGAAATTGATTAATTTTATTGTAGAGCTCATTTCTATCCTTTTATCAGTTTATCCAGGGATGCAAAGAGCAACCGGCTAACAACACCATATATTTTTCCCCAAACTGTAAAAAGTTTCATATATAGGGTCACCAAATCCTTTGCCACTCACAATTGCTTAATCTAGATAATCAAGGGCATTTATATTCTTAAGTTTGTAACACAGTTCACAAACTGTGAACTTATTGGCTTTCAGTACTTTTTGAGCTCCCAGGAGATGGAGTGCCTCTGGAGAGGCTTCAGTACCTGAAGGGGCTGGTGAATTAACAAAACCTATTCTAGATACTTAAGAGATTCATCCTTCTATTTCTGTTTTGTAGAACCACTCTGGCACCAAAATCTGTATTAGTCAGAGTGCTCTAGAGTCATAGAATTCATGGGAAGAATCTATCTATCTGTCTATCTATCTATCTATCTATTTACATAAAAAGGGACTTTATTGGAATGACTTACTGACTGCAGTCTAAGTAATTCAACAAGGACTAGTTGTAAATGGAAAGTCCTGAATCTAGTAGTTGCACAGTCCCATGAGGCTGGGTGTCTCAGCTGGTCCTCTGTATATGCTGGAACCCCAAAGAAGTAGGTTCCAGTGCCAGTGAAGGAATGGATGTGCAGGCAAGGCAGGAAGAGAAGAATGGATGATCTCTTCCTTCTTCCATTGTCCTTATATAGGCTCCCAGCAGAAGCTGTGGTCCAGATTAAAGATGTATCCTCCCACCTCATGATCTGGATTAAATGTCTGTGTCTTTCTGGCTCAAAATCCTGATCAAAGGCATGTTGTCTTCCTGCCTCAAGATTCGAATCACAGATGTGTCCTCCATTTCTGGACTGTAGTTCATCTCAGATATAGTTAAGTTGACAACCAAGAAAAGTCATCCTAATCCTTCCAGTCCTGTCAATGTTTTGCACTCACCAGCATCCTTGTATTTTGTGGATCTTGGTAAACAAAGCAAAATTTGAAATAAACTTAATAATTAGCGTTCTTGAGGACAAGAAACTGGATAGATTTGGGAAATGGGAGATGGCATAGAAGCAGGATGGACTCCTAAGTTTGAGGTGTATGAAGCATGTTTTCTAAAATGGAAATGTCGAAGAAAGAGAAGGGTGCAGCAGGATGATGGCTAAAGTTTAGCTGATGAGTTTGAGGTGCATCTAGGGGGTTTTGGAGGAGACATTGCTGAGCATTAGGACATGTAGGGGTACAGAGGAGAGATGAGACACTCTGAAGCCGAGGACACCAAGGGAAGCCTGCAGCTGGAGAGTGCCTCTGATCATATGGACAGAATGTGGCCAAGGATGGAAATCTAAGGAACTTCAATCTTTGTGTCTTGAGGAGGAAGAGGAGAAGGACCCAGGAAGGAAAGTGGTCCAGCAGTTTAGGTGATAGAGCATAACCAACAATACTGATACCTCAGGTCAGGCTTCTCCTAAAGGCAGAGATGGTGGCGGGCATAGATTGGTTGACACTCTCACCTTGCCTACTTCTCTTCTTCCCACCATTCACTCAGTGATGGACCAGTACTCAGGTTAGTCTCATGTTTGTCCCTCAGACGGCGACAAGAAGGTAGAATTTTCCCAATAACCCATGGACTACAATGGGTGGTTTTTCTTTCACATCATCCCTCCTCCTTTCCCTCTCTTTCATCTTTTTTGATTTTTTTTTTAGATAGAATCTTATGTAGGCTCAAATGACTTCAAAGTCACTATGTAGACAAGGTTGTCTCAACTTTCCAGTGCCTAAATTCCTGGAATGCTCCACCATGTCTGACATGGGAGTTATCTATATGGGCATAGAGTTACCACCCAGTTCTCCAACTGTCACCATTCTTTCTGAAGGTGGCACCAGTAACCCATGTGCTCCTGTCCATGAGAACTCAGACACTTTCTGGTTCCTGTGTCAAAACTGACCATAGGAAAGGTCCACCAGCTTCCCAAGGGAGGTTGTGAGGTACCTGTTTGAATACTTTTCTGGGTGACAGTGAACAGTAACCTGTCAATCATGAATGATAGTGATTGCTAGTTAAGGGGCTTCACCCATAGAAGGAGAGTGCTGCGGAGAACTTATAGATTGTTTTAGACTGTTTCCGTTATGTGTTTTTGGTACAGAGGTTTCAACTTATCTTCAAACTCATGATTTTTCTGCCTTAATGTCCCGAGTGGGTGCCTTAATCCACACACTCCACTTAAAACATCTAAGTTTCCTTGCTATCCAGGCAGTGTCTAACACTGAGCCTTAATGTTGGTGTTGTGCCACACTTTCTGCACAGCAGTGGTTCAGACATAAACCACTTAAACACCTTGAGCACACATGTATTTATGTACCATATGGTGGATATGCATTGCTCTCTTCAAAATTGCTCTATCCAGCCTATTGGTTTTAATAAACAGACCTTAGTTTGTAGTAACCAGTTACAAATACTGTCAAAATTGAACTTCTCTAGATGAAAACTGAATTTGTGCCGGAGGCCATCCCTGGTGGTAGACAGGTCCCAGCAGAGGATGTTAGGAGTTGGCTAGGGAAGAAGGTAAGCCAGGCCATGGTGGTCAGGAGAATCTTGCAGCCTGACTGACTCTCAGTCAAAGTGCGTCTTTGTTTATGCAGAATTTAGTAATCAGGCATATATTCATGTTGTTCCAAAACATAGAGCATATCAAATTTTTTGGGACATGTGTGTTAGTTCCTTTTGCTCATCTTTTAGTCATCATTCATAAACAATGACAGAACAGAGATATCATTTCCATTCATTATCTCTCATGATTTGACATCATTAAAAAAAAGAGTTATTTTTACTCATTAACCCTATAACTCAATTTTTAAGAACCTAGAGGCATCCCAAGAAAAGTCTTCAGGGCAAAACTGCTGCAGTTATTATTCAAATTCTGGTATAATACAATGTTTATATTTTATATTTCTATATTTTTCTATATATCTAATCCTGACATTCTGTTGTTCCTTGGTCACACTACACCACAGTGACACTGTATTGCTAACTTTTCTAAGAAAGGAGATCCTGACATCTCATTCTTTTTATCATCACTTCAGTCCATACTTTGACAATCAGTATAACTTCAGATAATCTAACTTTGTTGTTGTATGTGCCACGTAATTATCAGAGTGTACAGTGGGAAGAGGCTTGCAATCTGATCTGTGGTCAACTCCTCTAACCCACCGAATTTTGTTGACCTTATTAAGGTTACTTTGTTTTTATTATTTTGGTCCTGAGTAACTACAGGAACAGGTGCTTTAACAATATCCCATAGCCTCATAAAGAGACCTCTGGTTTTTTATGTATGTCACAACCTCAAGGAAGACCTTGGAGGTAGATAAGGATATTTCCCTATAAGCAGAGGGGTAGTATGTTCAAGATTTTCCTGGGGAAGTTTAGAAGCAGTACTCCTGGGAGAAGGCATAAATAATTCATAAAATATTTAACATCAATTTAATATTCCCAATATGTGTTGTCTAAGGTTTTCTGACCTGCCCAGTTCCCGCAGTCATTAAGTCCCAAAGAAATAACATAGAAATCTACATTAGTTATAAACTGATTGGCCTAGTAGCTCAGACTTCTTATTTACTTATTCTTATAACTTATGTTAGCCCATTGTTCATGTCTGTGTTAGCCAAGTAGCTTGGTACCTTATTCAGCAAGGCACTCACATCTTGCTTCTTCTGTGGCTGGGTCATGACTACAGACTAGGACTTCTTTCTTCCCAGAATTCTGTTCTCATTGACCCACCTGTACTTCCTGTCTGGTTGTCCCACCTATACTTCCTGCCTGGCTACTGGCCAATCAGCATTTATTTAAAATATAATTGAAAGAATACAGACCATATGTACAAATATTAAAAGTCCCCAAATACACAACAAGTGGAGATAAAAATCAAATGTGCAGCCTGGTCTACAAGAGCTAGTTCCAGGACAGGCTCCAAAACCACAAAGAAACCCTGTCTCGAAAAACTTAAAAAAAAAAAATCAAATGTGGCTTGGCTTTTGTCGTTCCCATCAGTTGTGACCATGCCAAATTTGACAAAAGGCTCTCTGTGTTAGACCTGGAAAAAAGTCCAAACTCCATTGATTTGGGAAGGTTTTTCTCTTTCATAGAACAGAGATCTCTTTTGTGTTTTGATGTGGGAGTGTCTTTATCTATCTGTTGCTTTCATTGGTTAATTAATAAAGAAAACTGCTTGGACTGATAGGGCAGAATTTAGATAGGTGGAGTAGACCGAGCAGAATGCTGGGAAGAAGGGAAATGAGGCAGTCGCCATAGCTCTCCTCTCCAAGATGGATGCAGGTTAAGATCTTCCTGGTAAGCTACCACCTTGTGGTGGTACACTCATTAATAGAAATGGGTTAATCAAGATGTGAGAATTAACCAATAAGAGGCTAGAGCTAATGGGCCAAGTAGTGTTTAAAAGAATACAGTTTACATGTAATTATTTTGGGTAAAGCTAGCCATGCAGGAGCCGGGTGGCGGGAAGTGACCCACCGCTCCACACTACAATGTTTCAAGAACATGATGGCAGAGCCATCCTTGCAGGGGAGTCAAGGTGGGAGAAACATAAAATAACTGCTCCCATCACATCCACCAGCAGGAGCACAGAGCACAGAGTTAATGTGTGTTTATGATCACTACACTTTCTCCACGCAACGCTCCAGGAACCCACAGTAGGCAGGTCTAACTGTAATTAATATAATCTCTATTAGACATGCTCAAAGGTTCACAAATAAAACCATTCTAGTCTCCACCCTGGGTGGTTGCCATGACTACAGACTTTGGATTTTAGAGATGGTGACTCCAGGCCTTACATGTGCATTTTCTTGGGTCATGTGGAATCTTCTATAAGATTCCAACAGCCATAGAGTCCTTTGCTTTGTACCCAATTGGCTGGTCATTTGCACTCATATCTTGTCTTCTCAGAGTCCCCACCACTAGCTCAGTGCTCTCTAGTTATAGAACCCACTGTCAAAAACACTCTTCTACAGACCCTTTCTTCAATTCATTGCATGTTCATGCTCAATTACAGGATGTGATATTCTCTTAGATTATTCTCCATCTAATTAGATTCCTAGTACATCTCCTTTTGATGAGTTGATGCCATTGCTGTATGGAAAAATGGACTTAATATTTTATTTCAGAAACTCATTTTCTGTGTGTGATAGAAAAATTAGTCATATTATGTAAAAATCTTGTTTTGTTGCTAGTCTTTCTGTGTCAGGATCTTTGGTTTTCCAAGAAAGATTGTTTTGGGATTGGTTCATGGCTCCCTTCCGTCAAACATTACTGAAGAGCAGCAAGTCTTGTTCTGCAATTTACATTCCAAGCTGTTCCTTAGTGTTCCAGGAAGAAGCATCCATGCCCTTGCAGGTTCATGTAAAGGCCACACGTCGAGGATTGCCACAGTAGTGGCTCTGAGGGTCTCATCTCTCAATGATGTAAATGTTCTACTCTCTACATGCAGAACTCAGATGAATGCGAGGTGTGCCAGAATGTAGGGTTGCTCTTCTGCTGTGACACTTGCCCCAGAGCCTTCCATGAGGAGTGTCACATCCCTGCGGTGGAGGCTGAGAAGTAAGTGAGTTGTGATCCCTCTCTGTCTTCTCCTAGACACCCTTTCCTTGTCACACATATTACCCTTCTAGATTGTGAGCTTGTGCCTCAATAGAGGGTAAGCAAGAGCTCTTACTAACAGACACCAAACAGGAAGATGCAGAGAACTGTTTCTAGATGCTGTCAGCAAAAGATTGATATTATCTGTGTTAGGGGAAGCTTCTCTTCTGATACAAAGGCTGGACCCTTTGTCTACAGACTAACTACTGCCTTTTCCTCAAAGGTATTCACCAGAGCCCCTTGTGCAAGGATTGAGAGTGGCATATGCCAAGTTCTTTTGTTTTGTATTTATTCATACAAGAAGGAAATATGACCACTACCCACATTTACCCAGGTTGTAATGGACCAATCAAGGTCTAAAGTTCCCAGAATTTGTGGAAGACCATCTTCTATGTACAGACCGAATAGCCTAGCCTCTCTGCTCCCAGAAACCAGAAATGTGGTTTCCCCCACTGACCATAAATCCCACTTTTTCCAAGGACTGGCTCCTACCACAACTCTGATGGGAGTAATGGCAGTTTAAGATCCTACTTGGGGTCGCTCAGAGCCCAGGGACCTCTCCCCGAGATGACACCATCAGCCATTCTGAAAGCACAATGGCAGGCATACAACAGTCGCTGTTTTCAGGTCTTGTCCCCTACTCACTTCATGTTCAACGTTTCAGGACACCATGGAGTTGCATCTTCTGCAGGATGCAGTCCTTAGGAAGCCAACAGACTCATCCGGAATCTGAGGTACTACAGAGGCAGATGGCGCCCCAGGAGCAGTTGGTGAGTCCCTGTGAACCCCACACTTTCTCCTTTCCCCTGGAAGAGCACAGAAGAACAGCAGCAATGGAGCCTGCTTCCCCAATCCACATTCCATCACGCTGCTGTCACAGCACAACCCATTGGCTGAAGAACTAACTCAGCCTTTATAAGTCTGTAACTAAGAGACACTCGTGTTGGGGCACATTCCAGATATGTCTGAGTGGTGCCTTTCTCCTGGGTATGTGTATGGATTCTGTCTTAATAAGTCACTTTGACTAAGTGTTCTTTTCTCGCAGAAGTGTGAATTTGTCCTCTTGAGAGTCTACTGCTGTTCTGAGAGTTCCTTTTTCTCCAAGATGCCATATTATTATTATGTAAGTAATGGTGGTGAGCCTCCCATCACTGGCTACTATGATGTTTCATGAATGTGAGGGACATTTGTGGGATTGGGATCACAATCTCCCAGGACCACAGACTCTGTTGTTTCTGTGGCCTTTCTGGAGCCCTGTGGAAGGTAAGCTGAGCCATGTCCATCACTCTCCTATTGTTATTTCTGTCACCAGTTTAGAGAGACATCTGTGGGTATAATGGAACCTATGTGGTTGAACTTGATCAAGAAAAAGCTTAAAGGGAGAAAATACTCGCACGTGAAAGAGTTTGTGCAAGACATGAGGCTCATCTTCCAGAACCACAGGACCACGTTCAAGGTCAGCACCCTCTCTGCCTGCATCTCATTTTCTTTCCACTGGGTTGGTTACTCTTTCCTTAATTTCTGGTACCTGTAATGAGGTTGCATAAGCAAGAAGTCAGAGAGTGCCAGACACAGTGGGGCATGCCTGTGATTACAGCCTTCAAAGGCTGAGGGAGGAGAATTGTCTTATGTTCAAAGCCTGCCTTGTCTATAGTGGGAGACCCTATCTCAAAGGGAAAAAAAGTCTGGAGGTGAACAATATTTCTCTTTTTGATTTAACATGAATACTATGTTTCACTAACAGAAAGGTCGCCAGCACCACAGAGCTCTTTTCCTTCCCAGTCTATAAGGCTAGAGGACCAGAAAGAGGACAATTAAGCTGCAATGTCCCCCGACAAGGGCATTTATTTCTATTAATTGATTGATTTTTTTTAAAATATATGTATTTCTTTTTTGTTTCTTTGAAAATATATGTATTTTAAAATACATGTGGCCAGGCTTTTGTGGCCCACCAGCTCTCAAATAATGACATGGAGACTTATTATTAATTATGAAAGGTTGACATTAGCTTAGGGTTTTTTTTTCCCACTTGCTCTTAAGGCTTAAATTATTAAAGATTAAATTATTAATTTATGTTCTGCCATATGGTTTATTACCTCTCACCAGTAATGTGAATATGACTTCCTCTGCATCTGGCTGAAGAATCCCTCGCCCTTCTTCTCATTCCCATGTCTTCCCAGAAGTCCCCTCTTATCCTCTCCTGACTAGTTGTTGGCCATCCAGCTCTTTAGTAAACCAATCAGAAGACACCTTAGGTAGCTGAACTAGTACAGAATTACATCTTCAGAGTGGAAAAAAAGATTATTTCACAACACTAAGTGTGATGGCACAAGTTTTTAATCTCACGTGTGTGTGTGTGTGTGTGTTGTGTGTGTGCATTTGGCAGAAATGTCACAGTGTATGTGCATGTGAGTGTAGTTACCTGTGGAGGTCAGAGACCTCAGATCCCCCAAAGCTAATGTTACAGCAGCTTTCATGATCACCAAGCTATTTCTCTAGATCCTAGTTGTCTTAGTTAAGGTTTCTATCATTGTGAATAGACAGCATGAGCATGCAATTCTTCTAAAAGAAAACTTATTTAGAGCTAGCTAACAGTTGCAGAGGTTTAGTTCATTAACATCATGGTGTATGATACACAGGCAGACATGGTGTTAGAAAAGGTGCTGAGAGTTTTACATGTTGATTCACAGCAGCAGAAGGAATCTGTGTCTAACTGGATGTAGCTTGAACATAGGAGAGCTCAAAATGGGCCCACAGTGACACACTTTCTCCAACAAGGCCACACCTACTCTAATAAAGCCACAACTCCTAATAGTGCCACTCCCTGTGGTGACCATTTTTTGGAAACCTTCACACTAGTTTAAATATATATGTGTGTGTATGGACATGTGTGATATATATGTATACATGGGTGTGTGTGTTCATGTGTAAATGCAGATGCATTTGTGTCATACTACACATGAGGATCAAGTTAGAGGGCAACCGTGGGTGTTTTTCACATGTCATCATGTTGAGACAATCCTTTTGTCACCACTGTGGTGGTGGAATTACTGATGTGTGTTACCACATGAACTTTTCCATGGGTTTTGGGGATCTGAACTCAGGTACTCACACTTGTGTGGCAAGCATTTGCCCACTGAGTCAACTCCCCAATCTGAAATTGTTTCTGCTTGTTACTTTATAGAGACATGATTCTCAGAAATAGCAAAGTCTGAGTTAACTTACATGTGACTAGACCATGAAGTTAACAGATTCCATCAGAGGGTAGACGTGCTGAGGAAATGGTTCTCTCACTGATAACGAGCACCATCATTCTTGCCTTTGTTGTTTTCTAGGACCATAACTTTGGCCAAATGGGACTTAGACTGGAGTCTGAGTTTGAGAAGAATTTCAAGGAAGTGTTTGCTATTCAGGACACAAATGAAAACAGTTGACTGATGTCACAGATGTTGCTGGTGTCCTGGCACCATGTCCTTTTCCTGCCAGGTCTTCCTATCTGTAGCAGTGAACATTCTTTTCCGATGCCATCATCTCCAGGGGATTCTCTGGGTCACATGGGGTCAGCTGCAAATGGGAGTCACACCTCCTGGTCTTGTGGTCCACCCCCCCTGCCTCCAGCGGGAACAAAGGGTATGATACATTGCTGTTCTTTGCTCCCTAAGGGTCTAGGCTAGAGGCAGTCTCCAGATGGCCTGGCCCAATCCTCTAGATAGCTAGAGGATTATGCTATTATAGAAAGGCAATCTCTATATGATGTTCACACCCTGGTTTTATGCCATGCAGCTTTAAATGCTTGGGGCAGAATTGAAGAAGTGGAAAAAATGATTAAATCATTTACTAAAGCCATATAGGGCCCAAAAGAAATCTTCACAGATTTTCTTACAAAGGATGACATCAACAATAAATAAATGATACCAAATTCAGAAGTTAGACAAATGATAATTGAACCTCTGGCTTTTGAAAATGCTAATTGTCTGTGTGAAAGGATAATTAGGCTACTAAAAGCAAGGTCAGCACCTTTGGAGGAATGGGTTCAAGATACAATTAATATTGTGTCCCATGACCATGTTGATGCATGGTAGGAGAGAGGTAATTTCCAGAAATTTGAGGAAAACTTGAAATGTCAAATGTTATAATTGTGGCAAACAAGGTCACCTTAAATAGGATTGGAGAAATGATGTTACTAGAAACGATTTTTTCAAAGCATAATCCACTCACAATGTCCCTCCCTTCTGGTTTATGCAGAAGATATGGCAAATGCAGGCATTGGAGTAATAAATGTAGGTCAACAAGGGATAGTCAAGGTAATCCTTTGCCATTGGGAAAATCCATGAGGGGCCTCTTGCTGGCCCCTATGTCAAAGTGGGTTAGTCATTTCCTGCCATTGCAGAGGAGCCTCCTTCTCAGAGCAGTTAAAGAAACTAATGTCTATTATAAGAAATCATACTGCTCTGGATGATAGACTAGCTATAGAAGAAAGAACAAAAAATTCAGGAGAAACCATAAAATGAGTATTTTGGCAAACTTCTATAAAGAAAAAAAAAGACCAAAGTTTAAAATTACAAATAAATGACATCGCCATTGAAGGTCTGTACACAGGTACAGATGCAACAATAATTTCTTCAGAATCTTGGCATCCAAATTGGCCTCTTCAGGAAGTAAATGTTCAGTTTTTAGGGATCAAAACTTATCTCAGGTAAACAAGAGCATAAGATAGGTTGAATGTATAAGGCCAGAAGAACGAAGAAGAATATTAAAACCGTATGTGGCTAACATAGCAATGAATTTGTGGGGATGTGATTTGCTACAGCAATGAAATGCTCAAATTAATATTCCCCCAATCTTAGAAACAAACCAAAAATTAACATATGGTTCTGGGAAAATATTACAAGATACTATAAAAAAACAGTCACTACTCAGGTTGTACAAAATCAGGGCACAACCAGTTGCTAATCTTCTAAAGGTACCAACAGCTCTACCTTTAAAATGGTTATCAGAGAATTATTAAAGAGACCACAGTTGCCAGCCCAGAATACTACACCCAGCCAAACTTTCTATCTCCATAGAAGGACAAAACAAGACATTCCATGACAGAAACAGACTTAACCAATACCTAGCCACAAACCCAGTACTACACAAAGTGCTACAAGGAAAACTCCAATCCAAGAAATTGTCCTCATCAACATAAACACAGACAATAGATGATCTCACAGCAGCAAATCACAAAGAATGGGAAAACAAACAAAATAACATCACCAACAATGAAAACTAAAATAACATGAGATAGCTATCCTCGTCATTAATATCTCTTAATATAAATGGGCTCAACTCATCTATAAAGAGACACGAGCTAGCAGATTGGATATGAAAACAGAATCCATCCTTCTTCTGCATACAAGAAACACACTGCAACATTAAAGGCAGGCATATCCTCAGAGTAAAGGGTTGGGAAAAAATTTTCCAATTAAATGGACCTAGGAAACAAGCTGGCATAGATATCTTAATATCTAACAAAATAGACTTCAAACTAAAACCAATCAAAAGAGACAACAAAGAACATTTCATATTAGTCACACGAAAAATCCATCAAGAGGAAATCTCAATACTGAACATCTATGCCCTGAATACAAGGACACCCTCATATGTAAAAGAAACACTACTAAAGCTTAAGTCACACATTAAACCACACACACTAATAGGATGAGATGTCAACATTCTACTCTCACCTCTAGACATGTCTGTCATATAAAAAATTAACAGAGAAATAAGGGAACTAACAGATGTTATGACTCAAATGGACTTAACAGATATTTATAGAACATTTCATCCAAACATAAAATAATATACCTTCCTTTAAGCATCTCATCAAACCTTTATAAAAAACTGACCACATACTAGGTAACAAAACAAACCTCAAGAGATATAAAAAAAAATGGAATAACCTCAAGTATCTTGTTGGATCACCATGGCTTAAAATTAGAATTCAATAGCAATACTAATTCCAGGAAGCCCACAAACACATGGAAATTAAACAATACTCACTTGAATCATCAAGGAAGAAATGGAGAAATTTAAGACTTCCTAAAATTTAATGAAAGTGACCACAGAACATACCCAAATTTATGGGACACAATGAAAGCAGTGTAAAGAGGAAAGTTCATAACACTAAATAAAGAAGCTGGAAAAATCCCACATTAGTGAATTAACAAAACATTTGAAAACTTTAGAACAAAAAGCAAACTCACCCAGAACTAGATGGCAGGAAATAATCAAATTGAGAGCTAAAATCAACAAAATAGAAACAAAAAAAAAACAATACAAAGACTCAAAGAGACAAAGAGTTGGTTCTTCAAGAAAATCAACAAAATAGACAAGCTTTTATCCATTCTAACCAAAATGCAGAGAGAGAGAGAATATCCAGTTAACAAAATCAGAAATGAAAAGGTAGACAAAACAACACACATGGAGGAAATTGAGAGGATCATCAGGTCATATTTTGAAAACCTGTACTCCCTAAAACTGGAAAACTTAAAGGAACTGGACAGCTTTCTGGATAAATATCACTTACCAAAATTAAATCAAGACAAGATAATCAAATTAAATAAACCTATAACTGCTAAAGTAATAGAAACAGTCATCAACAGTCTCCCAACCAAAAACAGCCCAGGACCATTTTAAAGTCTAGTTTCTTGAGTTCTCTATATATTTTGGAGATCAGACCTTTGTCAGTTGAGGGGTTGGTGAAGATCTTCTCCCAGACAGTAGGTTGCCTTTGTGTCTTAGTGACAGTGTCCTTTGCTTTGCAGAAGCTTCTCAGTTTTAGTAGGTCCCATTTATTCAATGTTGCTCTTAATGTCTGTGCTTCTGGGGTTATACATAGGAAGCGATCTCCTGTGCCCATCTGTTGTAGGGTATTTCCCACTTTCTCTTCTATCCTTTTCAGTGTGTTCGGGCTGATATTGACGTCTTTAATCCATTTGGACTTGAGTTTTGTGCACGGTGAAAGATGTGGGTCTATTTTCATTCTTCTACAGGTTGACATCCAGTTGTGCCAGCACCATTTGTTGAAGATGCTTTCTTTCTTCCATTGTATACTGTTAGCTCCTTTATCAAAAATAAGGTGTTCATAGGTTTGTGGGTTAAAATCCGGGTCTTCTATACGATTCCATTGGTCGACTTCTCTGTTTTTATGCCAGTACCACACTGTTTTCATTACTGTAGCTCTGTAATAGAGATTGAAGTCAGGGATGGTAATGCCTCCAGAAGATCCTTTATTGTATAGGATTGTTTTGGCTATCCTGGGTTTTTTGTTTTTCCATATAAAGTTGATTATTGTCCTCTCCAGATCTGTGAAGAATTTTGATGGGATCTTGATGGGGATTGCATTGAATCTATAAATTGCCTTAGGTAGAATTGCCATTTTTACTATGTTGATCCTCCCAATCCAAGAGCAAGGGAGGTCCATCCATTTTTTGGTATCCTCTTCAATTTCTTTCTTCAATGCCTTAAAGTTCTTGTCAAATAGATCTTTCACTTCCTTGGTTAGAGTTACCCCAAGATATTTAATGCTTTTTGTGGCTATTGTGAATGATGAAGCTTCTCTGATTTCCCTCTCTGCTTTCCTATCCTTTGTGTATAAGAGGGCGACTGGTTTTTTGGAGTTGATCTTGTATCCTGCCACATTACTAAAGCTGTTTATCAGCTGTAAAAGTTCTTTGGTGGAGTTTTGGGGGTCGCTTAAGTACACTATCATATATATCATCTGCGAATATCGAAAGTTTCACTTCTTCCTTTCCAATTCGAATCCCCTTGATCCCATTATGTTGTCTTATTGCTATTGCTAGAACTTCAAGTACTATATTGAAGAGGTATGGAGAGAGTGGACATCCTTGTCGTGTTCCTGAGTTAAGCGGGATGGCTTTGAGTTTCTCTCCGTTTAATTTGATGTTAGCTGTCGGCTTGCTGTATATAGCTTTTATTATATTTACGCATGACCCTTGTATCCCTAATCTCTCCAAGACTTTTAACATAAATGGATGTTGAATTTTGTCGAATGCTTTTTCAGCATCTAATGAGATGATCGTATGGTTATTTTCTTTCAGTTTATTTATATGCTGGATTACATTGATAGATTTTCGTATGTTGAACCAGCCCTGCATCTCAGGAATGAAGCCTACTTGATCATAATGGATAATTTTCCTAATGTGTTCTTGGATTCGGTTTGCCAGTATTTTGTTGAGGATTTTTGTGTCGATGTTCATGAGTGAGATTGGCTTGTAATTCTCTTTCCTGGTTGAGTCTTTGTGTGGTTTTGGTATCAGAGTAACTGTAGCTTCATAAAAGGAATTAGGTAATGACCCTTCTGTTTCTATATTGTGGAATACATTAAGGAGTATGGGTATTAGCTCTTCTTGGAAGTTCTGGTAGAATTCTGCATTGAAACCATCTGGTCCTGGGCTTTTTTTGGTTTGGAGGTTTTTGATAACAGCTTCTAATTCTTCGCGACCAACAGGTCTGTTTAGATTGTTCACCTGGTCCTGGTGTAACTTTGGTATATGGTATTTATCTAAAAAAGTGTCCATTTCTTTTACATTTTCCAGTTTTGTGTTATACAGGCTTTTGTAATATGATCTGA